AAGTTCAAAGGATTATTTTTCTTTGTTCCCTGAAAGAGACTCAAGAGAACAATCAAATAAATCAATATTTTGTGTTCTGATAGAAGGATAATAGTGGTCTACACACCTGAATCAAATGATTACTTCATTACCAGGCCTCTGCAGAACTTCAAGACATGTTGAGGAAATAATTTAGCCATTTAAATCAGCTGTGATAGATCAAGGACACATCTAGAACCTGCAGGACACCGGCCCTTGATGCCTGGGTTTGGACACCACTGGGGTAAGCAATGGTGAAGACTTAGATCACAGAGGACTAAGCAACAAATTCGGACATTCAAAACTGCATATTATAATAGCTGTAGTGGCGGGAATACATTTTTCCTACTCTATTTGACAGAGGCTTTATTGATAGCAAAGTCATTATTGAATTGGCTTACTGATGTGTTTCTTTATCGAGTCCCTTTATTGATTCTTAACCTGGTTTTACATGAGGAAACAAGTATACCCACGCACATTTTCAGTGTTGATACAACTGCTTTATTATCTGAAATCCTTCTCCCACATTTAAAATGGAGGAGGTGAAAAAATATTTGCATGACGATCGTTTTCATTCATGTTTCAGCATGTTGCTGTTGGCTTCACCTCAACTGAAATAAGTTACAGAAAATATAATGAGCCAGAACCTGCATGGATTAATAAAGCTGATAAAAGCACATAAAAGTCTCATTCTTTGGAAAAATTTGGAACCGGTTTCAAGTGACACTCGTTTTCAGTTTCCATCTGAAAAACCAGTGCAGACATGGTCAAATCAAAGCATCTAAACTATTTTATAGCCAACTCGTCATTACAATTTTACACTAGCTTGAAGCAGAACTTTTCAAATTCCTCTTAATCAATCTGAACTGGTCTCCTTGTATTTTACTAACTATTCTATTTATTAAGTTTGCTCGGGTAGCTGTAGCTAGGCGGTAGAACAGGTCATCTGCTAAACTGATGATTGGTGCCAGTCTGCATGCTAAAGTATCCTTGGGCAAGACACTACCGTGTAAGGACTTTATCTAAACTCTAAGTCTACTACAATATGGTTAATTTCTTACCAGAACTTTTCTTTGTGGTTTAAAAAGAACTGTTCACAAAAGATATTTGTAGAAGAAACTAAATAACTCTTGCAAATCTGGAATTAAAATTATTTCCTTTTCTTTTCCTGAACAGAAGTAAGATATGGTAAAAATAAGATACGTATCAGGTTAAAATTACACTCACCAGACTTTCAGGTAGACCTGTTCAACTGTATATCAGAGATTAAAGGTCAGTACAATTGCCACATAAGCATGGTATGCATGCATGCATGCATGGTATTTAAATGTGAATAACATTTGGTTTGTATACTCTACTGCAAGAAAGCTTTACATGTCTTTCAGTTTCTGTTGATCAGTTGGAACTGCAACAGACATGAAGACATCTTTGCAGGAAACTGAAATGTAACCTTAAATTACCTTTAGAATATTTGTTGGTGCCTCTGTGAGATAACGTCTCGTTACACAGTACTGTATAAAAGTCTCGAGTCACCGCTCATTTCTTTATTTTGTTTGTCATGCTGGAACATGAAGCCACTGCCAATCAGGTGCTTTCCAGATGATGGTACTTTACTGTGTTCATAATTCATTAATTTAGACACAGACCTCCGACACCACTGGCTGAAAGCAGGATTGCTGGATTTTTTTTTCTCACTGTTAAAGACGTGACTTTCAAATACAGTTCATCTCTTGTAGACAGTTCTCTTTTTAGGCTTGCCACTTCTTTGACCTCCGATTGTCCAATTTCCTCTGATTTTTAAAAGGACAAACTGCACACCATGCTGAGATATGCAAAAAATTTCAAGTAACATCTCTTTGGGAATCAACATGTTTGTGAAAATAAATACTATTTTGTTTTTTGGAATTTTCCATGGACTTATCTTTGGCAATTTTCATAGATTCAACTAAAGAAATGGAAACAAATGTTGTGTTTCTGTGGCAGGATGATAGTAAAAAAGTGCCTAAAGATACATTTTAAAATTGATTCTTTGCTGAGCTGTCTGTTGTGTGCAGACACAACACTGGTTCATCCCTTGAGTAAGGAGCCTTTTGTGCTCAAGTGATTCATATGTCAGTGTTACATGGGTTAACAAAAAAAAAGGAAAAAAAACTTTTGAAAACCTTCAGAAAGCCTGGAGAACTATTGTTCAAGAGCACTTAAAAAATGAAAGAAAGGTCTGGCTCCATGGAAGCAAAATATAAAGAAGTGAGAGGTGGCTCAAGACTTTGCTCAAAGTAGATATTATTAATTTAACTTTAAATTAGTTTTACACTTGTATCAGACCAGTGCTTGGTATCAGCAGATACCCACAGTCTAGTTATTGGTGTAGTAACTTCTCATTAGTCGCTGATCTCAATAAATGAAACCAGAACTAGCAGATGTGATGAAACGTTTCTCTTTGGTTTTATTCAGTTTTGCTTATGTCCTGAATCCCAGCAAAATGCTGATGGCAGCGGATCTACTAGCTCATCTCCACTGTCTTTCCATCTTTGTGTTTAACATGACCTGATAACATCGAGGGTTTATGGAGCGATGTATTTTGATGAAGAGGATGACATAGCTCATTACCAACCGGCCTCCTCCTCCTCATTATGTAAGCTACATACTTCTCCTCCTGCATGTATTAAAACAGACGGGTAATGAGACAACAGAGAACATCTGCCACCATCGCCGCCGCACACGTGCTCGCTGTATACATGACGAGAGCGCAGAGGGAGACGCGGATGAAGATGAATCAACGTGCTGCCGCCTGACCCCCAGCTCGGCACTGAGTGGGAGAGTTTGATGAGTCACCACGCGCACACACAAATATAACAGACAGAGGAGGGCAGTGACCAGATGGCTTCAAATCACATCAATCTGTCAATACAGACAGAATCAATACGCCATCTTTCTAAATTCAGGGACTAAATTTATTTAACTTGACATGCGAAGCCTCTTCACTCGAAGGTAATTAACGATCAACAGCAAGCAAGTGTATTTGCCGCTCTTCTTTCTCATAAACTGGATTTATTTAGAGGAAGTTAACCCTCAAATGTGGCCAATCCTGAGTCATAATCAGAATTCCCTCTTTTTCTGTTAGTTACTGTCTCCATTACTCGGTTTAACTGCTGCACAGGCAAAGATGTAAACAAAAAACTGTAAGAAATCATTTAAAAAAAATCACTGTTTCAAAGCCTCCCTGACTTCTAAAATATTACATATAAACTCAGCGAACACTTCACCAGACGGATACAGCTGTTCAACTGCTCATTAACACACAAATTTTAACCAGCCAATCACATGGCAACTGCACATCAGGATGTGGAAGAAAGGTAATTTAAGTGACACTGAATGTGGTATGGCAGCTTGTCTGGGTAAATCAGAAACTGCTGATGTGCTGGGATTTTCCCACACAATCATCAGGGTTTACAGAGAATGGCCAACAAGGGAATGGCCAGACTGCTTTGACCTGAAAGGAAGGCAACAGTAACTCAAATATGCACTTTTTACAATCAATGTATGCAGAAGAGCATCTCAACAGTAGAAGACCACACTGTATGCCACTCCAGTCAGATAACAACAGGAAGCTGAGGCCATGGTTCACACAGGCTCGCTAAAACTGGACAATAGAAGATTAGAAAGATGAGTCAGAATTTGATGTAAACAACATGAAAGCATGGATCTGTATGGCTTCATATCAACAGTTCAGACTGCTGCTGATGGTGTCATGGTATAGGGGATATTTTCTTGACACACTTTAGGCCCCTTAGTACCAACTGAGCATCGTTTAAACACCACAGCCTACCTGAGTATATTTACTGACCATGTCCATTCCTTGACATGGTCCCTGGACAGTGCACCATCTTCTGATAGATGTGGAGCCGATAAATGTGCTGCAACTCTGCAATGTTATCATGTAACGTTGACCAAAATCTCTAAGGAGTGTTCCCAGCACCTTATTGACACTACAACATGAAGAATTAAGACAGACCTGAAGGATGTAATACTTTCACCAAAGCAAAGTAAAACACACTCAAACTGCCTAAATGTAACACCTGTTCCACACAAATGTGTGATTATAACCTATATACTGTAATTTGTTTATATATATATACTGTTTAATAAACCAGACTAAACTTTTAGGGGTCTCTTTACATGCCTGAAATCAAAGATGCAAAAGCCAGCTGGAAGACTTATTTGCTCATCATCTGGCACCAGCATTGAAGCTAATTTAAATCCATTCATACACACTCGCATTGAAGGCCTTATTTCCTGGCAGGTCACCCTCCACGACCACCACCACCACCACCACCACCTCCTCCTCCTCCTCTAGAGCATCATCAGCTCTTCAGAAATCGATGTCCAGCTGACCTTGAAACTCAAAACCAGCAGAAAAAAAACTGCAGTAAAGTGCGCGGACCACATGTGCCAGCATCCACACGCAGTAACGCGAGAACAAATGGCCATGTTGATGCGTGCATGAGCCGCAGCATCACTGCTGTAAGCACGCCCAGCGGTGTCGTAGCAGGACACTGTGTATGTTTACACTCCTGTCACACACAGAGGCACGGGGTTGTAGGAAAACGCATCGTTTTCCTCAATAAGTTACGTAATAGAGGCAGCAGCGTTTCTGCGCTCTGACCCGCCTGCCACACTCAAGAAACCACCTACACATCTTAATATGTCCTGTCAGTACAACATTGAACACTTCAGCGCATTTATACCCCCCGTGCTGTCTTAGTTAATGTCCTCTGCGTCTGACGTTAGACGTCAGTTACAAGTTTTATCTGTGAACTGTCTTCTTCACTGAAACCAAACCAACGCTTCCGTTTCCCAACTTACACTCAGCACTATAAACACTGACAAAATCCGCAGAAATTAGCTCTAAACAGCCGACAAAAAACATCTTAATACGGCGTCACCTAAATTAAGGTTTACCGTAAATAAACTCTACTTACCGGCTCGGCTGCGTGCGGGATTAAATATCCGATTAACGAGCAGAAACACAAACTGTTAGCAGGAGAGCGTCCTCAAACTGCCGCACTGTTTCCTTCACTGCTTCTTTCTGGCTGCAGCAGCCAAAGCCGTCGGCCACGCCCCCTCCGCACAGCACGCCGGTAGCGTCATCACGCAGACCTTTACGCAATTTACGTTACTATTTTTTTTATACAGACTGACAAAAATTAAGAAATTATCTTCCTTAATAATAAGAAACTGTTAAACGTTGAAATAATAAAGCTATTTATTTTAATGTTTGTATTTTTTAATCTCCTCGTATTTTATTTTGATTTGTATTCACCGAGAGAATGACTAACTTGAAATGCTTCCTCTTATCTTCATCAGTGCTCTTCAATTTGTAATATTATTTGTTAACAGGATTTCTGATTTGTTACTTTTCCACAGTTGACTTGTCTTGTTTTTTCAATAATTTGCTTTGACTGCAGCCTTCAAAAAAATAAAAAAAATAAAAAAATAAAGACTGTATCTCTATATAACTTATATACAGTCAATGGCTGAGAGTTCAGCAGCAATATTCAACAAGTTTCCATCAGACTGGGTCCATGTTACCAGCCAAACGGGTAATCATAAGAAAGTTTTGAATTCCGTATGTACGTATTTGGGTGTTAAGGTGACATTTTTGCAAGAAAAAAAATTATATAATTAGTTATAAAAAAAACTGAACACGTATGTATTTAAAAAAGCATAAATAAATAACCGTGTTAGAGTTACTACAGCAACAGGTTGTAGCTCACTGTGCCATTTTTGAGCACAACGTTGGTGCTTTTGCCTCATTTTTAAATTAGTAATCCCAGTAGAACAGTCTAAGCAGAGACCTCAGTGCTTGGCAAACAATCAATAGAATCAATATAATTATAAAATAAATAAATAAATAAATAAATAAATAAATAAATGTCAACTTCAGGAAAAAACTTGACTTGATTTTGTGCCTTTAGGCTATTGTTAACAGCAAGCATGAGGTTAGTGCATATGTGTTTTTATTGAAGGGATTATTGCAAAGGAAAAAAAAACTTCTCCTGGGGAACTACTGCTCAAGACCACTTAGCAGTAGTTAACTGGATCTCGTTTGTAATGAGTTGGTGGAATGCTGCTCATAAATATGAGTAGGTGTTACTGACTTCTATATAATTATTTATTAAATACACAGAAGGAAAATTTTATATAACAGTAATAAACTACTCGGTCTCTCTGACAAAAACATGGGAGTTTAGTTGAACCAGGAGGGGGCGATATTGCTCTTCTTACCATGAGTTACATGCAGGGTATTTCTTACAATATCAGTCACATTTATTTATTTATTTATTAAAAACTGCTGAACCCACTCAATTCAATTCAATTTCATTTATACAGAGGCGAATCACAACATTTTCCTCAAGGCGCTTTAGATTGAAGGGTAGAAAGCCTACAATAAAAAAGAAAAAACCTCAACAATCAGACTACCCCCTTTGAGCAAGCACTTGGCAACAGTGGGAAGGAAAAACTCACTTTTAACAGGAAGAAACCTCCGGCAGAACCAGGTTCCGGGAAGGGCGGCGATATGCTGCGACCTGTTGGGGGTGAGGGGAGGAAGACCGGACAAAAGACACGCTGTGGAAGAGATTAACAATAACTATTAATTAAATGCAGAGCGGTGTATAAACACATATCTGATTCAGCCCTTAGTATATGCTCTATCAAAAAGTTCAGTTTTAAGCTTAATCTTAAAAGTAGAAAGAGTGTCTGTCTCCTAAATCCAAAATAGGAGCTCAATAGAAATAAGACACTTCATGGGGGCAGCTGAACCTTGTGCATAACAAATATTGAAAACTCATGCCTGTTGTAGACAAAAACCTAAAAACATTGAATGTGTACTTCTGTCTTATTTAGGTCATTTTTGTAGTCGCAGAAAATCATTTGAATTCATTTTATCCTTAAATTATTTTAACTCTCTATGGCAATGATTTCAAATTTTCAGACAAAAAAATATTTCAACCTACTTTTTGGGAGCTTGGGCTCCTTGTTCATATGTGAATCAATACATTCGTCCCTCCCACCAACAGAACTTGGTTTGTTGCCTCAGGGATGATGATATTAGTCTTAGCAGTAGCTAGCATGGATATTTGGCCCCTGAAAGGACCCACTCCCAGAGGTCAAAGGTCATCTGCTACTCATAATTTTACTTAACACTGAGGTGTTTTGTGTCACAAAATAAGTAAAGAAATGAAAAATAAATTTAAGGGACAGTGTAATCACCTAAAATTTGCCTTGGTTTGAGCTCCATAAAGCAGGGATACCAAACTCAATCACAGAAAGCGAAAAAACTGAAATGACGCTTTAACATTTAGGCCAAACAGGATGAACATTTATTAAATAGACCAAAGGTCACCGTGTTTTGAACAGAACTGTGAAGAGAAAGCCATCATCCAGAAAAGCATTAGAGTCTTTAAGTGATGATGTGATGAACCCTGCTTCCAGGCCCCAACTACTTTGCATTTAATTGGCTGTTGTGTTTTTAACATATCTTAATGGTTTGTATCTTGTTCTATTTAATCTCAACAAGCCCCTAAAAACAGTGAGTAATCACTGTCGGCCTCTCTCGGTTTTTATTACCGCTATTCATTTTAAAGCTCAGCTTTTAAACCCTTACGATGTAACTACAGTCCAGCCCATGCAGCAGTATATTAATGACTAACCTCATATACTGTGGATGGATTATCTCAGTTGTTCTCATAACTGAAGTTTGGTCAATTTACAGCATCCTGCCATGCGACTGTATTTGTCCCTAACCATCGGGAACTTTAACTTTTATCAAGTCGAAGAAGTTAGCCTTTGTCCTCCAGATTCACTGTTATATTATGCTAACATAGCTGTGTTGCTAGCGATCACGTAGCTCATTATTATAAACCAGCTAGCCCAACTTCAGTAACCCTACATACGTCACTGCTGTTTATTTTCCTGTCTTCATTTATGTCAGAAGCAGAGCTGTATGTTTTAATTTGTTTCAGAAATCTGTCAGTCAGAACATGGTACATTATATTCAGATGGAAACTAGTGAACTAACTCACCTGCTAACTTCTAACTCCGTAAAATTTCATAATTCTGTTTTCATAGATGCCTGGATGTTGATCTTAATTGTTACACCTGGTAGAGCAGCCACACCCTTAATTTTATTACAGATGAAAGAATTTAGACAGTTTTTTTTTAAACTCTCAGTGATGCCGCAGTGATCGTTTGACTTATGGACCTGCAGCAGAGTTTGGGCCCAGACACAGCAAATTACGTCAGACTTAAAGATCCGATAGTCTGGTATCTCCTCGCTATGTTCAGTTAAAACGCATTTATGCAGCAGGACATGAGAAGAACTTTAACACAAAATAACACGTTGTCGCGTAACATCTTAGACATAAAATTGACATTAAAAAACAAAGCAAAATAGCACGGTCAAACTGTAACACAATGACAAATGATAAAACACCCCTGAGCAATCCGGCTTCCACAGTACAGGCTGCATGTCTTATATAATATATTTTCTTTACACAGGACATCATCAATAATAACATGAAAAAGTTCCCTTCTCTCCTTAGAGTTTGGTCTTTTCTCTTGGCATTTTGTGCCATGGTACAGCATGTGGCTCAGAGGGTGAGGAATAACCCACGGGACCGGGAGTCAGAGATGATGTTTGGGGCTGATGGTCAATCTGTGGCAAAGCTCTTGAAATGGAGACCAGTCCAAATTGCTGCTCTACAATGTTAGATCAGTTTTTAAAGTTACTTACACACTTGATTTCAGTCTCAACAATCCGGGGAAGGTATCCGCAAATTTATTCATAACTTTGCTTTGGTAGCAGCATCGCTCTCTCTGCAAAACAGATAACTGACACACAGGGGTGTGTCTAAATGAGAACATGCCCAGCAAACACTTAACTCTCTCTCAGTCAAATAGCATGAATATTATTAAGTCTAATTACTGTGTAGCTCTGCTTGTTTTCTTTTAGGTGTGACTGAAGCTACTGCTGTCAGTAAAATTAATGTCCTTGTCTGTTCTAAGGTTGCTGTTGTGGCAGAGATTGGAGGGAGCACTGTTGATGAAACCACAAGAAGAATGATGCCCTTCATTACTGTAAGTGCTCTTTTCAGGCAATATAATTTCGTTGGGCGCCATGGAAAGCGAGAATTTTGAGGGCTTAAAGTTTTTGAAGTGCTATATGGTAAGCTCATTAGTTGTAAGATATTTTCTTGATGTTTGAATAACAGATGCTCACTACAGCTGTAGTCGTTCTGCCAAACAATTTAATCAGTCACTTAAGTTTTTTTATACTCTGATTTTGCATTTATGTAAGGTTTTATGCAGTGTCACAGTATAAATATAAGCATGTTTAAAAGGGAAAAGACAACGACAGCTGTGTCTTTAGATTCAGTAATATAGTCTCACTTTCTTGTGGTCAATATCCGTGCTTTACAGGCAGCTTGAAAAAAATGCTCTTACCAGCCAGATGAAGAAAAAAGAGGCAGAAAAGGCAGGTTTATTGGTGCAAGAGCTAGAGGAGGAACCCGCATGGCAAGGGCACAGTGACTTGTGCAAGAGTGGTATACCTTAGTGACTAGGTTTAGATAGACTGTACAAACTGTGGAGGTAAAATTAATTACAACTGACTGACAACTGACTTAAAACTCACTGACTCTGATGCTGCTGCCCGAACAAATGGCTGGAAAGCAGATTGAAATTTCCACAAGAGACTTGGAGAAGATATTCCGCATCTTGGTGTAGACATTAAAGTAGTCGTTCCCAAACTTTATCTGATGGCCCTATTATATATTCGGTGCCCACCTGGCACACACCTTAAGAAGTAGAATCTGTTCTCTTTTTGTTTGATGTAGTCGTTGTTACATTTCCAGACTTCTCCCTCCTTTCTCAGCATATAAACCGTGCTTTGTTTACTCCTGTTCCTCCTGAAATCCACAATCATCCATTCTTTTGTGTTCATTATGAGGTGATTGTTTCTGCACCATGCAACAAACTGGTTAACCACTTGCCTGTTCTAAGCTTTGTCCATCACTGAGACACTGTCTTTTAAACAGTTGTCTTCAATTCAGATGATATAAGGTAAAATATTTCTCATTAACTTGATTTTTGAGCGCCTACTTGGTTAATCCTTTTGTAAATAGCTTTTCTGTTGCCATGTGAGTTCAGTGTAGGGGGTCAAACAACTTGATGAGCACAACCTTCAAAACAACTCAAGTAGTATCGTAAATCTGATGTTGTTTGTTAAAAAAGGCACTAATATTTTTTTTCCAGGACCAATGATCGGTGAATGAGTGAAAAGCTGTGGTTCGCTGCATTTCTTTTTCTTTTAAACTGTATCACATTGATTTGTTATTTTTTTGTGTATACATTGGACATATTAGTTAATATGTTATAAACAAAAAAAGTATTATATTAAAAAAGCATACTGTTAAAATTTCATATTAGTCTGTATAAATAAAAAAGATAAACTGTCTTTGTTGTACAGGTGATTTAAATTATAGCTTACTGTATTATCCAAAATCCCATCTGGACAAACACACTTGGGGCCACCATGGAAACTGAGGACAAAAATAGCTGGGTCCCAGGCGGGTAACCGAAGTGGGTCCGAAATATCAAACATGCTTCTACCCATCTGGGCCACACACATGTTCTTTTGGCTGGGCCTGATTTGATTAATCCAATTGGACAAACACATTTTGGGCCACCATGGAAACAGAGGACAAAATTAGCTGGTTTCCCAAGTGGGCCCCAAATATTAGCCCTGCTACTCCACATTTGGGCCCCACTTGTGTGTGTTGACTGGGTGGGGTGTTCCACTGAATTTATTTTCTAGGTTTTAAACATATTAAGAAGAAAAAAGACTAATGAAAAGACTTCGAACGCTTGTTAATGACCCAGACAAAGTGTGTACACAACCATTTACCTAAAAATGCAATCTGCCTTTGGTGGTTAGCAACTGTGACATTCAGTAGTGCCCTCATTGTTTTGACACACAAAACAAAAACAAATGACTCTCCTGCACACCAATTACACAAAACCATACAAAAAACTACACCCTCAAAACATGCCAAATTACACAAACCTCAAAACTCAATATAGCGCGCTCTTTCGCGCTGATGCACAGTGTGTAGGGGTGTTCCAGTCATCTTAAATACACGATGATTCCCCAGAGGTAACAACCAAGTTTAACTTTTTGCCTTTAACTTTCTTAGCATAAAGAGTGAACACACAGGATGATTTTATTTTTGTCACCGGGTGGTGTTGAGGTCTGAGGGCAGCTCCTGTAATCACAAAGAGAAACGAATCATCACAGTCTCTCAAATGTGAAGTTCATCTCTCACAGCTGGAATAAAGCTGAACCCTCGCTGTCCTCTCACACTTAAGGATCTGAAGTTCCCTTTTTTCAATTCTGTTGACAGCTGTGAACTGTTTGTTAAAAAGGCCAAAACTCTATGTACATACAGATTATCTTGTATAATATTTATCCACAGTGTGTGGTACAGTTATGTCAACATCGATCAAAATCTCTGAGGAATGTTTCCAGCATCTGATAAAGTGGTCAGTGAATGTAAATTGTAAAATCTCACAGAACAGCTCGTGCTCTTACAGATTACCAGTCTAATACATAAGATGAGCTACAGCCCACATTGCTTTCGATCTACTGATTTTGTTCCACACAAATGTGTGATGTGGTTTCAGTTATGTTTAAAGATAAATTCCCATAGATTTAAATCAAGGATGTATGGAGTGCCGGCTCTATTTATTATTTTTGCCCAGCAGAGGTCGCCTTTGTTAAGGAATTAAAACCTTCATGCTCTTTGGTTCGGTTTCTGCAGTTAAATAAATAAATAAAAAAGGTCCAAATGCACAGTGATTTATTATATATTGCGTCATTTTATTGTTTTTCGTCCTGCTTCCACTCATCATAAGGTCGCCGATGAGTGCTATACATTTGCAGTCATTTCTTAAGGCTATAAAACTCTCTATGCAGTAAAGCTACAGGTAGCAATAAATCCGTTGTTCAGTCACAGCACTTACATCCTCACATCCTTCATCTATATGATTAATGTCCAGCTGCGTTGTAATGCTCATCGTTGCTCTCCTGGGATGTCTCGTCACAGCAGACAAGCGTGTGATGTCATCAGCAGCTCCAGTCAGTCCGTTTTTATCAGGACAGCCCAGCTCAGTGTCGCCTGTGTCTCCGGTGTGAAACAAGCAGTGGAGATCTGCCCCTGGAAACAAAAAAGGGGGATCAGGGTTGTTTCATTGTTTTCCTTTATCAGCAAAGGCAAACTCTCAGACTGAAGGATTACTCCTGACTCTGGCAACTCTGAGTTTTGTTTCTTCTTTTGTGTGAAGGTAAGCTCTTGGAACTTGTACTTGCACTCTGGTCAAGATGCTGAAAACGGGTCAAAATGTTCATTGCTTAATGTCACGTTGTTGTCATATCAGGCACGAGCACAGAAAGAAATTAAAATGTGTGAATGATGTGGAAGAATTAAAAGACAAGCTGAAAAAAACAAACAAACAAACAAACGTCAAGTCCAATTTGAACTGTTTAAAATGTTGGTGGGAGCTTATGGTGTGACATGAGTCCACAACATATTTACCGACTTACCAAAGTGATGCAGTAAAATCACTTATTAGCCACTTTATTAGGTACATGTGCTAGTACCGGGCTGGACTCTTTCTCTTCAGACCTGCCTTCTTACTAGCACAGATTCAACAAGATGCTGGAAACAATCCTCAGAGATTTGGGGCCATATTGACTTCATAGCATGTCAAGCATGGGTACACTGTGGTCATAAATGGATGGACATGGTCAGCAACAAAACTCAGGCAGGCTGTGGTGTTTAAATGATGCTCAACTGGTGCTGAGGGGGCCAAAGTGTGCCGAAGAACTATCCCCCACACCATAAGACCAGCAGCCTGACTGTTGATACGAGGCAGCATGGATAAATGCGGTTATCAGAGAAAAAAACATTTTTCAATCTTCTATTTTCCACTTGGGGTAAATTTGAATTGTAGCCACATTTCCTGTTCTTAGCTGACAGGAGTTACACCCAACATGGTCTTCTGCTGCTAGTAAGATGCTTTTCTGCACACCTTGGTCGCAACAAGCACAGTGTTGGGTAAGTTACTTTAAATTAGTAACTTAGTTACATTACTAGTTACTTCTATCAAATGTAACTCAGTTACTTCAAGTTACTCGTTACTTTCAAAGTAACTAGTTACTAGGGAAAGTAACTTTGGTTTTAAGTTAATTTTAACTTCTTTGTGCCCCCCTTTCCCTGTTAATGCCCTACCTGGCCCCCTGGCAAAACTTTGCTAGACCCGCCCCTGCACAGTTACCAGCTGTCAGCTACATAAAAAAGGATCCTGGGGTTATTTGTCTCTCAGAAACAGTTCATAACTTCCCTTCAACTCATTCATGTCACCTAAAAGGTAAACCTGTTTCTCCATCACCTGTTCAGTTTTGATGATTCAATAAGGACATCTCCTGGTTTCATTATAACTTCTTACCTGAAGTTCAGTTCACCTGACACTCGGACCGGCAGCCGCCTCAGGTCTCTCCTCCTCCTCCCTCCCCTTCCTCTCATCCACCTGCTGGCCTCCACCACTTGCTAATGTTACTGAATCTGTGGAAGCTCCGTGATAGCCACCACACGAAGTAACGAATAACGAGCCTATCTAAATCCCAGTAACGAGTAACGCGTTCCTGATTTTGGCATAATAACTAGTTACTGTGCTCGTTACCACAATAATAACGTAGTTACTGTAACGCGTTACTTAATAACCCGTTAGTCCCAACACTGGCAACAAGTTATGCAGGATGGTCATTCTCCTCTGAAGGCATTTTCACTCAGACAACTGCCGCTCATTGCATATTTTCTCCTCTTCAGATCACTCTCTGTAAACCCTAGCGATGGTTGTGTAGGAAAATCCCAGCAGATAAGCAGTTTCTGAAATTCACAGACCACCAACAGCCACGAGGCATTCAAAATTGTTTTCTTCCAAGTTCTGTTGCTCAATTTGAACTTGAGCAGGTTGTCATGATCAGGTCTGGACACCTAAATATGTTGAGCTACTGCCGATGAAATGTACAGGTGTACCTAATAAAGTGGCGGGTGACTGTATATGCTTTCTGTAACACCTAACAAAAAGCTGCAATAGCATGAGTGGGAAAAACACAGATTTCCAGGACAGGACGGTGTTTTCAGTGAAGGGCATTTCTCATGTAGAAGTGGTTAAATCTCTGAGTTCTCACACAAATGGATTACACACCAAGGGAGTGACTGCACGAATAGATATTGGATGTCTTTTTTGCATAGCAGCAGGAAATCATACTGCATGTAGTGTTTTCCCTTTTTTTGGGTGTGTTCAAGAGGATATTAATCTGTTAAAGTGACAAAGATTTCCTGAATTAGCAGCCAGAGGAGGTGGAAATTAATTACATTTGTGCTGCAAGATTATAGATGGGTTGTATGACACTGACATACTGAGAGGAGAAACTCAGAAAGAGTTTGATGTCGAGAGAGACTTTCTGGTGCTGCATTAAACTGTAGATATGAAAGGTAGACTCATTAATGACAGTTTATGAGGTGGTGCAAATGCTTTAATGTAATCAACAGCTTTAAAGTTATTGTGCAACGCCTTTGTCACCGAAGACACAGACTTTGGTTTTAGACTACCCAGCTCAACGTTTGACTTTTTCCTGCCAAAGCAGGTTTAACCCTGTTATTTAGTTTAGTTACAAACGTGAATCTTCATCTATTAGCATCTGCAAGAAACATTTAAGAGGATTTAAAATATTTTCTGTTAGGGTACAGTTTTCTGGCCCTTTAAGGCCTGCGTGAAGATCAAAATTGGCATGGTAAGTTACTTTTACTTGAGCTGTAGGCTATAGGCATTAATTTATGTGACATAAATTTAATATTTATGTTTTAATTTGCTTCTCTATTTATTAACCTTTCTCTCCCCTTGATGTATTTACTGTTGCATTTAATATTTCAGTTTTTATTGCATTATTAATTTTTTTTAATACTAAATATATTCTTATACATATGTTCAACCACAGTTTGCAGTGAGGTAAAAAGTGAATTAAAAAAAAGTCTTGCAAACATAAGAAAAGTTGTTGTTGTAGTTAAATTAAAATATCTCTAAGTAGCAGCTGCTTTGATGTTAGCTTCTTCTATGCTACAGTCCTGTGCAGAAGTCATGAGCCAATCCCCGTTTCTTTATTTTTTTCTAGGAAAATGGGAAATGGGTGGAGGGATTTATTGTAACAAACGTGTAATTACAGTGTGTAAGGCAAAAACAGAGTTTGTACAATTCAAAGCTCTTCTTTGGATGTTTCTGCCTTTTGTTCTGTTCTCTGTCAACATGATCCCACACTGCTCCGGTAATGCTGGGGTCCAGGTTTTGGGGAGGCCAATCCATGACTGATAGAGCTCCACTGTGTGTTTTTCTATACAAGTATGATTTTATTGCATTGGCAGTGTGTTTGGGATGATTGTCATGCTAAAAAATGAAGCTGCTGCCAATCAGATGCTTTCAAGATGGTTTTGCACGATGGTACTTTTCTGTGTTCGTAATTCATTAATTTTGACAAGATCTCCAACACTGGCTGAAATGCAGGACTTTGGGGTTTTTCCTGTTACTGTATGTGAAATGACATCCTGTTCATCTGCTGTAGATAGTTTTGTTTCTTTAGACCTGCCACTTCTTTTGTCCTCTGACACACTGCACAATATGCTGAGATATGCTGAAATTTTGAAGTAACAGCTTTTTGAGAATCACTTTGTTCTTGCAAAAATACAATGTTATGTCAGACTGTGTTATCTTTGGCATTTTTTATAGATTCAACTAAAGCTATGTGAACAAACGATGTGTTTTTGTGACAGGCTGCTAACAACAAAGTGCCTAAAGATACAATTTAAAATGGTTTCTTTGCTGAGTTATGTGTTATGTAGCCACAACACTGGTTCATCCCTTGAGTTAGGAGACTTTTTTGTGCTTGAATGATTGTGAAGTAGCTTAACAAACAAAAAAAGCATTCTTCTGAAAATGGGTGAAAAAGCAGCCACTGTGCCTCCAAAAATGTATTTCTGGCTCCTTGGAAGCAAAATAGAAAGAAATGAGGGGCTCCAGACGTTTGCACTACATGTGTCAGGAAAAACTGAGCTTCTTGTTGACTGAAGGATACATGCTTTTTTAATGTACGAACCACACTAGGTTCAAGAGCTTCTGCCACACCAACTGTACAGGTATTTGACGTGGTGATGTCTTCTGGCTAAACTTTGGTTAAACCTGCTCACGGTGCTTAATAAGCATGCAGGAAGGAAGGAAGGGAGAACGGAGGAAGCAACAGGTCAAATCTGTAACCTCATCGTCCAAAAAAGGAGAGGACTGCTCATTACAAGTTAAAAACATGAAGCTACAAGCATTTCCCTCTCAGTTTCAAAGGATGGGGGACCTGATATTGGCTTTGAAAGATAATTAGAAGGCAAAATTACAAATTTAATAGTAAAAATAATAATACGAAGATACCAAATTTTAATGCTAAATGTGTTATTTTATGGTCCTGGCAGTACAGAGCACGTGAACGTTGAGTTTGTTTCCAGCTCCTGTCAGCACATTGTGTGCTGGATCAGCCCAGCAGCTGCTGCAGCTCAGGAAATGTTGTTGTTATTATCGGGCCTTTGGGAGAAAACTATTTGGGATAGTGGTGACATTTTTACCTGTTCCTCCAACACTAATAAAAATAACATCTAACGAAGTATAAAAATATCGTCCAGTCTAATGGCGAGTGTCCAAAGGCTATGCTTTTAATCTGTATGCGACTAGCACCTGTAATATGTTGTGTGCATATTTGGAGAAATTTCTTTCCTCAGCTGCAACTCTTGTGACTTTTCTTTAGGAAACGTATGAAGATCAGAGCGCACATGGATCTGAGCTACATCGTGCTACTCCTGGTCCTGTGCTCCCTCAACAAGGTACTTAAATGTTTTCCTTTACTATTGATAACAGGGACAACAGTCTGGTACATATTTATGAGTTGAGCATTAACTGTCACACCATGAGTTGATGTTTTAAGGTTTTTTTTAGTAAAGAAAATGATAAGTTGGCCCTGCTGGAATAAATGATATATCTTGAGAGCATTTTCCTTTTTTTAATGTCAGATAAATGTTCCCAGATGTATCACAGAATGTTGAATTTGCATTTGAAAAATAATCTCAGCTATTTAAAATAAACTTCATGCAAACTCGTTGTTTCTAACAAACAACTCTCTGTCAAAATACAGTAAACTCTTTTATTTATTGGCTAAGTTTGGCTCTTTTGATTGACTGTTGCTTCCCTAAAGTTACAGAACTTGTAGTAGATCAAGTCAGAGCACAGCCACAGTAAACAGAAAGCAGAGTCTCTTTTGGTTCTAGGGTTTCACCTCTCAATAAAAATATTCTCGTGCTCAGCAGGTAAATACAACCTCACAACATGACAAATTTACATCGTGTCAGTATTTATTTATCACAAACGGAGCCACAGTTAGCACGTTAAATGTAAAAGTTCAAGACACTAAAATTAGATAAAGAATGACCAAGTATGGTTTGTTTGGAAAGATTACCAGAAGAAAGTGTCTTCTCTCTAAAACTAACACAACAGCTCGGCTTAGGCTTGTAAAGCTGCACCGGAACAAACCACCAAACTTCTGGAACAGTGCCCTTTGAACAGATGAGACCAGTGGCGATGATTGGCCATAATGCACAAAGCCAAAAACCTCATACCAGCTGTCAGCACAGTGGTGGTTGGGTCATGATATGAGCTTGTTTTACAGCCCAATAGAGTCCAATGTGAGAAACTCTGTCTGGCAACTAAAGCTTTTTACTGTAAGAGTATAACTTCCAAGCTAAACGTATGGGATAACAGTTGAGTAGATGGCTAAATTATGTATAAAAAGTCAATTATTTTGCTTTGAGTATAGCATGAAAGGTGCTTTATGGAATAGGTTCTCCGTATGAGAGATAAACAGGATGGGATGAGTTGAGGAACACCAGCTCGAATGGTTGAATTACACATTTTTGACATTTGCAAATTTTGTGTTTCCAGATGCTGGTGGAGGCAACAGCTAAAGACGCTCACAAGGAACCAGCGAATCATTCAGTGAACCATGGAGATCTGTTGAGACTGTCTAAAATCACCATGGCCCAGTACAGATGTTTCCAGAGGATAACAGAGTCGCAGCACAAAACAAAAACGACTGGTGAGCAGTGGTAGACATGCACAGTATCACACCATAAAAATACTCAATGGCATGTAAAAGTTCTGCATAAATGCAGTAAATGCTGCAGGTATAATCTGTATATGTACCTAAAGAATTGTGTATTTTGTATTACAGTACTAAAATCTATTAATATGACTATAAAAATAATTAAAATGAAAGGAAAAGCAGAACTGAACTTTCATGCCTTTCTTCTTTAACGTGATTTTGCCGGTCTGTCTTCTGCCTCTGTTAGCGGAGCCGATGTGCAACATGACGTGGGACGGCTGGCTGTGCTGGGATGAAACTAAAGCTGGCGTTAAAGAGCAGAACTGTCCAGACTACTTTGATGATTTCGATACACACGGTAAATCTCTGTGCCCTCTGTGATTTCATATAACGTCATTAACCTTGAGCGTTCACATTATTTTTCCTTTATGTCATTAGGGTTGTTAAACTGAGAGCTGTAAAATCACTATAGACGGTATCGATCAGTCAATCAATAAATGATTCGAACTTTTATGCAGTTTGAATTAAAGCTTCGGCTGCTGCCTGGGCTACATCCTGCTTGGCCTGTCGGTACCTGTCAGCTGCTTCTGAAGTCCCACAGGGTTACCAAGCCTGGACTCCTCCTTTAGCTTGATGGCACTCTCCCCCTCTGCTGTCCACCTTCTGTTTAAACTCAACAGTCCCAAAGTATCAACATAATAAAATGACGATTTATTTTCAAATCTGCTCACAGTGATGGCTCAAAAAGTTTGCACAGAGACTGGAGAGTGGGCACGGCATCCGGAGAGCAACAGGACGTGGACCAACTACACAAACTGCAAAGCCAACTTCACACATCACGGAGAGGTAAAAGTGACCAAAGTACAATAAAATCAGTAAAGCACAATAGAAGTCGATAGCCAATAATTAATGCAAACCTGTATGTATTGTGTTTTGTAGCAGGCAACAATGACTCACTTCTACTTGGTTATGATCGGTCATGGACTTTCGCTGCTGTCTTTGCTGATTTCACTGGGAATTTTTTTCCATTTTAAGTAAGTCTGGCACTGTTCTTGTTTATATTTTATAGTATATTATTTTATATTTTATCTTTTGTATTGCTCTTACTGTGATTAGTTAAGATTTTGTACACCCACTTTATTAGGTACAGAACTCAAATGCAAAGAAAATATCTTGGCAACAAATCACGTGGCAGCAACTCAATCCATTTAGGCGTGTAGACGTGCCTGCTGAAGTGAAAACTGAGGATCGCTCATTTAAGTAACTTGAATGTGATATGGTTGTTGATGCCAGACAGGGGGGACTGAGTACTTCAGAAAATGCTCAGCTTTTTGCCACACAGCAATCTCTAGAGTTTACATAGAGTGATCGGGGGGGGGGGGGGGGGTCTGTTTCAGTTCTCTGGGTGACGATGTCTTGAGAGAAGAATGGCTTTAGTGCTTAAAGCTGCTAAGAAAGCAACAATAACTCAAATAACCATTTGTCGTAACCAAGCTATGCAGAAAAACACCTCAGTCTTGAGACAGATGATTTACAGCAGCAGTTGTAAGCCACTCCTGTCAACTAAGAACACGAGGTTGAGGCTACAATTCACCAAAATTGGACAATAAAAGAAGAAAAAGAAAGATGTTGCCTGGTCTGATGAGTCCTGCTTTGACATTAACATGGTGTGGTCAGAATGATGAAAACCACATGAAAGCATATCCGTGCTTTCATCCATCCTTCCTAATATCAGCAGTTCAGGCTTGTGGTGGTGTCATGGTGTGGGGGTATTTTCTTTCCATACTTTGGGCCACTTAGTAACAACTGAGCATCTTTTAAACGCCACAGCCTTCCTGAGTATTGTTGCTGACAATGTCTATCCCCTTATGATAACAGTGTACCCATCTTCTCTGCATTTTCACTCTGAATTGTTTTGTAATAAGTAGCAGAGGCTTGTAATGCTGACAACAGAAAGCAAGGAGTCAATGGAGACAAGTCACATACAACAAATGAGACCAAGTTTCATTGTAAATTTATGTTAACTGCATAAATGTGTTGAAAAGTCTTGGGACTTAAATTAAAGAAAAAGGTTAATTACTAAAAAGTTTTCAAACTTTCAATCCCAGTATTTCATGTCCCATAGAATTTGCTAAATTCTGTTTTTTATTCCCTTAAATCTCCACAATTTAAATTGCCATAGATTGTTTTTCTTCTTGGTAGCTTTAATACATTTAATTTTCCTATCTCATCAGGGCCATTTAGAAACCCAAGTTTTACATAACATTATTAGTTTGTTATTACTAACTTTCAATGCAGGAGAAACTAGATTTAGATCTTGCACATTCACAGCAGTTAACAGCTGTTTAAAGGCTATCAAGCTGACATCTGAAAGTGCCCGAAATTGTTAGAAAGAAATCCCTAAGTAATAATATTAATAATAAATTACAAAATGCATTCCTTATTGCAACAATATACATCTATGCATGAACATCCGTCCATTTCTGATGCAGTTTTTGGCATGATGCCTGGACCTGTTTTGACTGGGGAGATGGGGTCGGTGTCTCAGTGGTGCTTGTTGTGACCTTATGGACAAATCTGTGATTCAAAAGTAAAAATCTAATGTGTCTTCTTTTCTAATAACCATCAGGAGTCTGAGCTGCCAAAGGATAACTCTCCACAAAAACCTCTTTCTCTCCTTCATACTTAACTCGATTGCGACCGTTATTGTGCTCACAATGTTAGCGAAGCAAGGACACAAATATGCTGACTCTGTGAGTGACCTGCTTTTCCACCTTTTATATTGGATAGTAACTCAGGCTCCATTTGTTTGAGTCGTGTAAAAACACGTTTTGTTTTCCTTCAGATAAGCTGCACACTGATGGAGTTTATCCATATGTACCTGATGAGCTGTAACTACTTCTGGATGCTTTGTGAGGGCATCTACCTGCATACTCTGATAGTTGTGGCTGTGTTTGCAGAAGAACAGCATCTCCTTTGGTATTATCTGCTGGGTTGGGGTAAGTTAAAGACATGTGAATATTTATGCGTGCATACTTCCTGGCTATCAAACACAAATGTCACTCAACATTATTGATTTCACAGGCTTTCCAATCATGCCGGCAGTGATATACTCAATAGCGCGTAACTTTTACTACAGTGACAAGTGAGTCTTTGGATTCACACATCCTTTCAACAGATATCACGTGTTCCCATCCCATCTGGATATAATGATCTGATCTGTTCCCTCACAGGTGCACCATAAACACTTCCTTGCTTTACATTATCCATGGACCCATCTGTGCTGCATTGGTGGTGAGTACTAAACTCTGTTTCACGTGTTTGTTGGTGCTAGTCGGGCTTGTCTGAGTACTTCAGCAGCTACTGATCTGCTGGGATTTTCCCAAAGAACCATGATGGTCTGAAAAAGAGAAAATGTCCAGTTAGCGGCAGTTCTCTGGGTGAAAATACTTTGTTGATGTCAAAGGTCAGAGAAGAATGGTCAGACTGCTTTGAACTGACAGGAAGAGGAAAATAACTCTAATAACCACTTGTTACAACCAAGGTACGCAGGAGAGCATCTTAATAGCAGCAGAAGACCACACCAGTCTGTCCTGTCAGTTAAGAACAGGAAACCGAGTCTACAATCCATCCTTATAGGATCACCTTACATCAATGTGTCAGGCTGCTGATGGTGGTGTAATGATATTCAAGATATTTTCTTTGCACATTTGGGCCCCTAAGCACCAAAGTATTGCTGCTGACCATGTCCATCCCTTTATGACCACAGTGCACACATTTTTTGATGACTGCAGAATAAAAAATCTCAGATCATCTCAGTATATTTTCTTGAACATGACAATAAGTTCACTGTACTCTAGTGGCCTGCACAGCCACCAGACCTCGATCCAACAGAGCATCTTTGGGCTGTGCAGCTGATAAATCTGAAGCAACTGTGTCATACTGTCATGTCAACATGGATCCAAAATCTCTGAGGAGTGTTTCCAGCACTTTGTTGAATCTGTCTCATGCAGAAATAACCTGGGTGGCTGTAGCTTAGAGGGTACAGTAGCTCACTTACTAAATGAAAGGTTGGGGATTTGATCTCTGGCTATCCAAATATTCTTGGACAAGATGCTAGCTCCAAGTTGCTTGCGAGTGTTAATGTTATATAGAACGGAGCATATGAAAAGAGGTAAATGGGTGAATGACGCATTTCCAATCTTTGAGTACTTATGTGGAGTAGAAAAGCACTTCACAAGAACCAGTTCATTGATTCCCAGTACTTCCATACCAACTGCATTGAAAGCAAACAATACCACTTTATATGCTAAAGTAAATTATGACCAACAAACTTTGACAATTTTCAGTTGACTTGATGTAAACATTGCACTGATGATATACAATGCACAAAATAATTCAAGCTGTATTAAGAAGAAAGTATGGACTTGGAGGCAAAGGTATGTTAAAGAAGGCAGGGGTCAAAAGAAATTTACAAAAAAACAACACATCTATCTGGTAAAGAGGTAAAATTGTGGAAGCTGTCATAAGGAATTAAGATGGTGTACTTCACTATATACGCTAATTTATAAAACTCTAGAACCACCTATTGTCCTTATATCTTGTACGCTATGTATTTTGCTTTATGAGCAGGCTTTCTGAAGGTCTGGCACAGGTTTTCTTTCGGTGTTGACTTGATAAGAACTATCCTGTCCTTTTAATCTGCGTCTGATATTTCAATAAAAAGTTGTGTGTGCCTACTTTGACTCCAGGTGAACCTTTTCTTCCTGCTGAACATCGTTCGGGTTCTCATCACCAAGCTGCGAGTGACACACCAGGCCGAATCCAGCCTCTACATGAGGGCTGTGAGAGCCACCCTCATTCTCATCCCTCTTCTCGGTATCCAGTTTGTCCTGCTCCCATATAAACCTGATGGCCACTCTGAGATCTATCACTACATCATGAACATCCTGATGCACTACCAGGTCAGTCCATGCATCGGAGAAAGAGGCATAATAATGTTAATATTAGCACATATTTTACGTAATAAACTTTCTTTGTTTTATTCAGGGTCTCTTGGTTTCGACAATATTCTGCTTCTTCAACGGGGAGGTGAGTAATTGAGCAAATTAATAAATGAACAGTTGCCGATTCTTCCATAAAAAATAATTAATTGCCTTTATTGTCACTATACAGTTGTACAATGAGATACAGAGCATCTCCTACTCAGTGTAAACATGCTCGGGGGTACAGTTCTGCAGCGCTATGTACATATGGACAGTATTAACATAGGGAAAAACATATATATATACATACATATAAAATGTACAATATACAAGACGTAAGTGATATGTAATAAATAGTGTTATGTATATACAGTTGAGTTGTTGCACATAGAATTGGTATTGCACAGTGGTGGTCCTTAGAGGAAGTGGGAAGTGGGGGGCTGTGCTATCTGTGCATGTGTGAGTTCAGGGTGGTTATCGCTTTGGGGAAGAAACTGTTTTTGAGTCTGTGGGTTTTTGTGCTGATGCACCTGTAGCACTTCCCTGAGGGAAGCAGGCTGAACATGTTGAAGCCAGGCTGGGAGCTGTCCTTGATAATGTTTGCTGCTCTGCTGAGGCAGCGGGAGGAATAAATGTCCATCAGGGAGGGGAGAGGGCAGCCGATGATCTTTTGTGCTGTCTTGACCACACTCTGAAGCCTCACTCTATCTGCTTTGGTGCAGCTGCCGTACCATACCGTGATGCAGTAGGTTAGCAGGCTCTCAATGGACGAGCGGTAGAAGGTCAGCAGCAGGTTGGAGTTCAGCTTGTACTTCCTGAGGACTCTCAGGAAGTGCAGCCGCTGTTGGGCCTTCTTGATGACCGCTGAGATGTTTCCTGTCGAGGAGATGTCAGCAGAGATGAGGACACCAAGGAACCGGAAAGTGTGGACCCTCTCCACACACTCCCCGTTGATGTAGAGGGGGGCCAAGTCGGTGCTATGTCTCCTGAAGTCAACAATGAGCTCTTTGGTTTTCTTAGTGTTCAGTGCCAGGTTGTTTTCTGAACACCATGCTGCCAGCTTCAGGACTTCCTCTCTGTACTCTGCCTCGTCTCCCTTCGAGATGAGTCCGACTACCGTGGTGTCATCAGCAAACTTGATGATGAGAGTGTTGTTGTGGGTCGAACTGCAGTCGTGGGTGTAGAGAGAATACAGGAGGGGGCTCAGCACACAGCCCTGTGGGGAGCCGGTGCTCAGTGTGCGAGTGGAGGAGAGATGAGGGCCGAGTCTTACAGTCTGGGGCCGGTTTGTGAGGAAATCCTTTATCCAGGCACATATGAGAGGAGGGAGGCCAAGAGTGACCAGTTTGGTGATGAGGATGTCCGGGATGATTGTATTAAAGGCTGAGCTGTAGTCTACAAAGAGCATTCGGACGTAGCTTTGCCGCTGCTCTAGGTGACTCAGCACAGCGTGGAGGGCTGTGGCGATGGCGTCTTCTGTGGATCTGTTTGCACGGTATGCAAACTGGTGGGGGTCGAATTCTGGGGGGAGGTAATCCTTGATGTGCTGAAGGACTAGTCTCTCAAAGCATTTCATGATTACCGGTGTGAGGGCCACAGGGCGGTAATCATTCAGGCTGGAGATGGGAGACTTCTTCGGCACTGGGATGATTGTGGCTGATTTTAGACAGGATGGGATGGCTGCCTGATTCAGTGAGAGGCTGAAGAGTCTGGTGAAGATGAGGGTGAGCTGGTGTGCGCATGCTAAGCAGATGAAAGTTATGGGGCAGATTTCCATTTGCTAGTAGCTTTTCCCTGGAATTCCCACTAAGCGGTCAAAGAAAATTCTGCTCTGAAGGACACCATCATTAGTGAGACTGGTTTATTGACGATGTGACTGCTGATAGGAGTAGCAGGAGTAATCTTTAAGTTTGCAGAGCTATAGTCTTAAAGAAACTGGATATTGTTCAGATGATAAGTTAGCTGACCTAAAGCCAAGAAAAACATATTGAGGGATGAAATGCGGCACTTAGTGAGGTCCATGAGTTATAGATTTGATTACATCCAAGTCTTTAAACAATTCCTTTACATATAAAATTACCTTAGTTTGTTCAACTTAAATGAAAATTGGCGACTGTGTATAAAAATTGTTGTAATTCCTCAACAGTTAATGTAGAAATGTTTGTAAAACCCCTTGAATTAAAGTTGAAAGTCTGCACTTTAATCACCTCTTGATTGTTTGATTTAAGAACCACTGTTGTTATATACAGAGTCAAAATCACAAAAATAAAAAAAGGTTCTCATGTTATAATGAATCGAGTGATTGGAGTTAAAATGTGCAGCTATGCTCAAACACATCGACTCATGCTGGGCACGAACGTTGTGGTTGAGGATTTCTTCAAAGACTTTGTGACTGTACAGTATACACATTTAAAGACTTTGGAAAAAAAGGTTTGGGTGTACAGTTTTCTCTGACCACACAGTGCCAAAATGTACATTTTGACTCATTCCAGAAACTTGATGTTAGCCTGCTTTAATTATTCCGAAACCAGTTTTAATGTGTGTTTGCGATCATTGTCCTGTTGGACCCACCCAACTGTGTCTAAGTTTTAACTGCCTAGCTTTTGATTTGAGGTGAAGTTGATTAATTTGGAGGTAGTACTTCTCGTTCATTATTCCAACCATTTTGTGCAAAACTTTTTTGCAACACTGGCAACAAAACAGCCCCAGAACATGATGCTACCACCACTGTGCTTGACAGCTGGTACAGTGTTCCTAGCTTTGAAAGCCTCACAATTACTCCTCCAAACATACCTCTTGTTACTGTGGCCAAACAGCTCAATCTTTTAATCCAACCATGAAGCTTTTTTGCTCGTCAATGTGAGCAGCTGCAAATCTCAGTCTAGCTTAAAGGTGTCGATTTTGGAACAGCGATGTCTTTCTTGGTCAGCTCAGCCCATGTAAAACAGGCGTTACTGTGGACAGTGATGCTGATGTTTCAGTAGTTTCTAGTTCTTGAAATTCCAAAAATAAATTAAAATTTGTTTATCCTGTTCTTGTTTTGTTTTTTTTTAAGTTATGAAATATGTATGCTGTGCAATCACTCTACCCTGGAAAAAGAACAGTTCAATGAAATCATTAAAAGCACATCATTGCCATGACAGTCATGCCCATGATGAGTGAAAGTGAACTTCTGACCCCGACTGCATGAATTGTGCTCTGTTTTCTTCCAAATAGAGCACAAAGCGAGTGTTCGCCCAGGGCACCAAACAGGCTAGGACCGCCCTTGGAGATAAGTCCAACCACCAGCACGGATTTTTCTCTCATCGTCTTTGTTCCTCCTCTTGCAGGTTCAGAGCATTCTCCGGAGATACTGGAATCAACAGCGGATGCAGTTTGTCGGTACTTTTGCCAACGCTGACATCTTCCGCTCGGCCTCCTACGTGGCGTCGTCGCTGACCGAAGTCCACCGATGCTACAGCATCGAGAGTCACACTGAGCACATGAACGGCAAGAGCTACTCAGACATATTCCGATCGGACAGCCCTTTTGTGTGAAGCTCTTCAGGTTCATGACTTACTGTTTTGCTCTCCTCCCAAGGTTTTTGAGAAATAACACAGGTATTTCTTCCATTTTCAAAGCAAAAAACTAAACCAAAAGACACCCTCCCATATTTCACTTCATTAGAAGGACTGTGAGAACAAAGACTTAAGATCCTATGAGGATAATGCCATCAAACAACAATAAAGTGTACTGCACTGTGCAGATAACCTAGGGAATATTTCTTTTTTGTATTGTGCGGATATCTTTTCTGGGCATTTTCAAGAGCTTGATGGAATTTAAAAGTAAACGGTAAACTAAGTGAAATACTGCTTCCTCTATCATCACTCCTTCTGACACTTCAAGTTTCATGGAGGAGCTCAGTGTCGCAGCTGTTTGCTGTTAAGCTGAATAGCGAGCATGAAGAGCAAGAAGTTTTATTTATATTATTTGTAGTGGTTATCAATGGCATTTGTAAAGTATATGTAAAATAACGTAAACTAAAATAGAAACGGATAAAAAGACACATTCAAAAATAACCTGCTCGCTTTGCAAAATGTCAGTTATGCTTTAGCTGTTTGTCAAATAAAGATATGCGGCATGGGACGAGGACTGAACTCAACTTTGAGGTAAATTTTCTATTTATGTAGTTCTTGTTTTCTGAGTGAGGTCCACAAAATAATTTTGCCTGGCTTGGCGACAGCTCCAGTCTCTATTAAGTTAATACTTAATAGATAAGTATACTGGTTTGGCTCACTGTTGTTGTATTCCAAAATGCTGGAGACGTGATTGATATGTTTGTACTTAAATTTGATTGTGTATGAATGACATGTTGTAAGGGACTTAACATAATGTTGTTTTCATTAGTTTCAGTTATAAACCATTCGTTGTATATAGCAATATTGTCACATAAACTCCTAACTTCTGGATCACTTATTTCACACAATGCACTGATAATTATTGTCATTCTCACTGTTACTGTCATTTAAATCAAGTAAATGGGGGAAACTGTATATGTCTGAGGTTAAAAGACAAAACTGTCCTGTAGAGCTGCTGGTTCTGGCCTTTAAAAACAGGAAGCACCTTTCCACTGCAGGTTTTCGGTGCAGGTGCAAGGTGGTGTGAAACTTTATAGGACAACATGGGGGAAACAACAATGAAAGCCAATAGGTTTGTCTAGGATCACAAGCGTGAGGCTGTCATGTAGAAGTCGACAGCATAGCTCGCAGGTCTGATATAAGGAAAATATAATTTTAAAATGCTTTAAACCTCAATCCTTTTGCAAAAGAGTTGCAATTGGTTGAAAAAAGTATTTCCAGCTCTATTGAGGCTTTACTTAACTGCCAAACATGTGATGCATGGCAATGTAGAGTCAGATGGCCCCAGCCTAGAGACCAGTTTGCAACCTCCTTGCAACCACAATGCAAACTACAGGCAATTTGCTCGTGACAAAAACAATCATAAGGAGGGTTTTGGTCTCTCTTTGTGATCGATTTCACCTGGCAGCAGGGAGCAACCTCCAGTAATCACTCTCTAACCAGTGGGGAAATCTATTTTTTTCACTTGCAACAGGCGGTTGTGTCCATGTAGCAGATAATTCTAGAGCAATGTGAACACAGAGAAATCTTTGGGAAAACAGCTCTTGGCTGTTACTGTCTACATGGTGAGGTTTTGTTTGAGTTGCTTGAGAGGACACACAGAACTTTGCTGTTCTTTAATTTTATGCTAGATTTTTTTATAATGGCATTTGTTCTGAATTTAACAAATAAGGACCCTCAGCAGTGTTCTAGAAGTATTTGCACTGGAGTGGGTACTTTTTGTGGGAAAGTTTCGGGCAATTTAGTTTCCAAAGGGAACAAATTTTCCTACCAGTGTCTTCTACAACTTATTAATTAAATCTTGCTAAAGCAATTCTAAGTAATTTTTTAAAATATTGCATGACAATGAATCCTCTAGTATGCAGTGCTTTGTGTCTCAGAAGAACAAACTGCACCTTGCTGTTAAAGAAATCTTTGACACTGGCTTATATTATAACATTTTATTCTTGGATTCTCAGCTTTGATTTCTTGAATTAGTAGTTTGGGATTTGCAAAGTACTTTTTTGGTGAGAATGAGAAGACTGACATACATGATTGTGTTTCCTTTGTAAATAATAAATGGCCTGCATTTGTATAGCGCTTTTCTAGTCCCTAAGGACCCCAAAGCGCTTTACACTACATTCAGTCATCCACCCATTCACACACTCATTCACACACTGGCGATAGCAAGCTACATTGTAGCCACAGCTGCCCTGGGACGCACTGACAGAGGCGAGGCTGCCGGACACAGGCGCCACCGGGCCTCTGACCACCACCAGTAGGCAAACATGGGGTTAGTATCTTGCCCAGGATATTTGGCATGCAGCCAGGATGCAGCCTGGGATCGAACCACCGACCTTCTGATTAGTGGCTGACCTGCTCTGCCACCTGAGCTACAGCCACCCAATAATAAATATCAAGCTGAAATATAGCTAGCTAAAGTTAGCTGGTAACTTAATGGCTAATTTTTGACAGAGCCATGCTAGGTGTTCGATTCCCTGATGAAGCTAACCGGCTAAAATTCCTCTGGCCCTGGTGGTTATGGCTACATAGCCATGGCTATTTCTCATCTCTGCGTGAGTGAGAAAACATGTTGTTACAAAAACTATGCTACCAGGTGATTACCATGAAAGTTTCCTTACAAACATAGCACGCTATACTGGTCATAATTTGACAGGATTGCTTTGTGGTCACAAAATATCCAGAACGCAGAGAGATTTTTTTTGCAATGTAAGCAGTCTATATATGATGTATTTTACAGGCCTTTGATGTCACATTAGTCAGAGTAATGTTTTTATATTAGGTCTCAGTCACAGACCAAGAAACCAGTTCCTGACCCCCTTGTAAACTCCAGTCGCTAGGGGAAAATGTGTATTGGAGAATAGTTGCTGGAGGTTGCTTGTCGTTGCTAGGTGCTGCACCAAAAACACCTCATCACAATTTTGGCTGCTGGCATAATGTCACAGTCATGCATAGTTTGAATGCAAGACGGTGACCTGAACACTCATCAACTACTAGTCGAGAGCTGGTAAAAATCTGAAAAAGTGCAACACAAACAGGAAATAGAGAACATTCCCCTTCAAAGTAAAAGTTATGAATTACCAGCTTCAACTTAGAAGACAAATGGTTCCATTTAGCACTGCACTTTTCACAGTTTTGGAGAGTAGTTGTTGAGTGTTTGCAGACTAGTTGGCATCTTACATGCACTACAAGTGATTGCAACTATCCGCCAGGGACTATAGCATAGAGAGTTTTTCATGCAGCACTGCCGGTTGTTTCTCCTGCCAGTTGTCACCAACCACTTACCACCCTGTAGGGGAATACACATTTTTTTCTCATGGTTCCCAAATGGTTGCAGACTGGTCTCTCAGAACTGTGTGACTGTGGCCTTACGCCCTCAGATCCACTGTTTTTAGAATGTAAATGTAGTGTATTGACAACCTGACTGGAAAGCTGGTCTTATCGTTTCACATAAGTGTTACATATTTTGAAACTTTAAAGCAGATGTAAAACATGAATACAAGACCAAAATTTTTGTTTTGTGTCAGAGAGAAGAGCTTAAGTAATTTGGGCTGTTGTACAGTTTGTATTTTGTGGCTTTTTTTCATTCAGTTTTTTGTGATTTATTTGTTTTGTAACATTTTTCTGGATAAATCCTAACAGCACTCATTTAAACTGGAGAAACAATGCTGTAAATAAAAATAAGCTGATTTAAACTGAGATGCAAGACCATCTTTATCCATCTTTAACCATCTTAACCATCTTTCCCACATATTTATTTAAGGGTGGGATTTCCTTGACTTCAGAAAGTGTTTCCCACTGCAATGAATATTGTTTCCACACAAAGCAGGGTGTGTTACTGTCTGCTTCTCATCCAGAATGTATGTGAGCAGGTACCATTAGGAAGTCCCAAAGGAAAAAGACTATATCTGTACTTACAGCGCATACTTTATTAATTTCAAAGGAGAGAAGCTGTAAAAGCACTTAACCGGCTACTTTTCCTCCTAAACAGATTCATTTGCAAGGACAATGCACATTGATGAAAAGCATCTGTACACGACCAGTGTTTTTTGGGGTTTTTTTATGATCTCACATGCCTTTCATAGTCATGACCTCAATCCACAAAGGACTCCTGTTATCTGCGGGTTTTTGAGCAGTGCTTGGAGCATCATTACGGTAATCATGAACCGTCCCCTCCCTTGTAATTTTCTGCAGAAACATTTCTGCAATACTTGAGCTAAGTAAGTTTAATAAGTTGGATCAAAATTAGAGGATGTGATATCCTGTGAGGTTTTCGGTAGCATGGGCTTCCTTTAAAACTGAGATAAAGTCAGAGGTGCAAATTCAGCTTGAAGAAATGCACATGTAAAAACATCAGCGCAAGATCAGTAAAGATCTGTTTTTCCTGTTTACCCATCACAGCACCACTGGATAAGCTGCACCCATCTCTATTTACTTCAATGGGAATCAGGCCACTGGATGCATTGCAGGCTTCCTGTTTCTAAGAATACATTGCCATTGAACTCCTGATCCGTCGGCTCTTGTGTGCTGGTAGCGAGCACTTCCTCAGCCTCATGACTAACACTTGTTTACTGCTTTAACTTCCTCATGCCTTCACTGAAACTTTAATGCATGTTTTTGTCCCCAGGTTTCCAGCAGTCAGTAGCAGTTCTGTGAATTTGTCAAGGCCATTTCCACAGGACGTGACTTAACAGAGACACATGTGCGCTCATGTTTGGCGGCAATCCTGCAGATGTGGCAGAAATCGTCACATAAATCTGTCTCATATTGGCATCGTCACAAGTAGATTTAATTCAGTGTAGCTGATGCACTGATCTGCAGTAATTTCCTGTGGTTACGGATAGACTGGTATAAAAATGCAGAACATCTGTTACTGTTAGCTGATGTTCAAATGAGGAAGGTAGTCCTTAGGTCGTCTTAAGCAAAGTAAACGTCACAAATCCATGATAGTGTGAAACATGCTTTGAGACAGTCAAAGTAACGCCAAGGCATTTGACACAAACTGCGGTCTCATTCCTGTTCACAGCATTTCAAACCATCAAGCACAGTTAAGCACTATTGCTTCACACACAGCTGACATCAATTACGTGTGTGACAGTTGAGGCCTTAAGGTGGAGATTTAAATTAGGGCTTGGACTGTGTGGGATGTAGACAAGTTTACAACCACTCATCTTGGGCATGAATGTGATGTTAATTTGGGGTTTTTAATGATTTCTTTGAACTGTTCCTTTTTCAGAGTAGAATGACTGTAGAGCATTCACATTTAATGACTTTAAAAAACAAGACTGGATGCCTGAAGTTTACATACAATCTCAATTATAGACATTCAACTAAATCTTTGGTGGTAATGAAGATTCTACAATTATTTTTTACTTGACAAGGTTAAGGCCTGGTAATGTCTCATTAGTGACTACAACTGGTAGTTTCTCTATGAAGGATTTTTCAACAACATTTATTGTATTGATAAATACTCAGAACAATCAGAAAGTCCAAGGAAATCAGTGAAGATCTAAAAAGGAGAATTGTAGATTTGACAAGTTAGGAAGGTCTCATGGAGCCATTTCTAAACAACTGCAGATTCAAAGATCATCAGTTTAGACAATTCTGGAAGAAGACCCAAGTTTCCATCCTTAGATGAGAGGAAAAATCTAGGGACCACCAAGGCTCAAGTCTGAATTGTCTTCAGTGAAAACATGAAGAAAATTTCACATCATCATGGACTGAGAGGGTGCCGACCAAGAAAGTAACCCCTGCTCCAAAGTCGACACCTTCAAGCTCGACTGAAATTTGCAGATGCCCTCATAGACAAGCCAAAACGTTCTATGGTCAGAAGAGACAAAGACTGACAAATTGAGTCACACTGACAAGAGGTATGTTTGGAGGAGTAAAGGCGAGGCTTTCAGACCTAAGAAAAATGTACCAGCTGGTGGTGGTAGCATCATGCTCTGGGTCAGCAGTTCAAATCATTAAAAGTCTAAAATTACCATGATGTTCATGCCCATGATGAGTGGATGTAAATGTTTAATCATAACTGTATCACTGCATCACTGGGCAAAGCAATCACCAATTAAGTTGCTGTACGACTACTAGGACCTTCAGTTATCAGTAAACCATGCAATGCTGGCTTTGCTCTGTAATGTGAGAAGAAACATGTCTTTAAATCTTACTGAGAATAAACATATGATAATTCAAATAATTATTAATAATGAATAATTCAGAATCATTTTAATCACACTGCATCTTTATCCACTAGCTTTTCTTAGCACTTTGGTTAAAAAAAAAAAAAAAAGGAAAAGCAAACACTAGATGATAAAACACTGAGTTTTTTGGAGCCAGATGTGTCTTTATTTAAATAACATTATACTAGCTAGCTGGCTTAGCAAACATAGATAATTTCTTTAAGTAGTCTTCAGGAATAGTTTTCCAGGTTTCTTGAAGGACATTCAAAGCTCTTCTTTGGATGTTTCTGCCTTTTGTTCTGTTCTCTGTTAACATGATCCCACACTGCTTCAATAATGTTGAGGTCCGGGCTCTGGGGAGGCCGATCCATGACTGATAGTGCTCCACTGTGTGTTTTTATATGCAAGTATGATTTTACTGCATTGGCAGTGAGTTTGGGGTCATCGTCATGCTGAAAATGAAGCTGTTGTCAATCAGATGCTTTCCAGATGGTGGATCAAAATCTGGAGGTACTTTTCTGTGTTCATTATTCATCAGTTTTGACAAAATCCCCAACATCACTGACTGAAATGCAGCCTCAAACCATGCCACAGCGGCCACTGTGTTTTAAAGTGTATTTAAAGCACACTATGTTTTACTGTTGTAACTCTCTCCTGACCTCCTCAGTAATTATTGTTAATTATTAGAATGAGAATTCAATCAAGGCAGCACGGTGGCATGGTGGTTAGCACTGTTGCCGCACAGCAAGAAGGTCCTGAGTTCAATTCCAACATCAGGCTGGGGTCTTTCTGTGTGGAGTTTGCATGTTCTCCCCGTGTTTGCGTGGGTTCTCTCCGGGTACTCCAGCTTCCTCCCACCGTCCAAAGACATGCAGCT